GTAAAAATCTAAATCTATAACTAAAAATCGACTCTATCAAATTAAACCGGTCCCATTTAAAATTCTAATAAAGGAGCGGTTTTAATATTTATATAATCAGCCAAACACGTACTTTCACGAATTCCGTCAAAATCAAACGCTTCATCATCTATACACATCACTAACGAATACCAATTATAATTGTCAACATGTTTCAATTCCCATTTCAATTCTGGCACCAAGCCCATCAAGTAGCTACCAATCTCCGCGCCAAATTTCTCTAAAATCTTGTATCCGACTGCTCCATATGGTTTCACAATTCCATTCACGCAATCATATAGTTCGGTCGATGAATTATTCTCGATTTTCACGTGTGGTGGATGTTTAATACGACGAAAATCGATTTGTATTTTTGCTGTAAATTCCGAAGTAAGATGATAGATTACGGATTGCAACGCGTGGATAAATGAATCTACTTTTGCAGCTGCGGCGCGGTTTGGAAGGGATGTGTAAATGCTTTTTACCGGGAGTTGAAAGTAATGCATTTCTTCGGCCAGTTCTTGATGTGTCACGTGTGATATTGAAGTTGTGATTGGTGATGTGAGGGGTAATGATTTCGGTGGTGAAGAGGAAGGGGACGAGGATGAAGTATCTGACGACGAAGACGACGAATAAGATATTGTTGAAGGCGGAAACAAAAATGAATGAGAGTGTTCACGCCACAAAATTTTTCCAGTTCGATAGAATTCGAGAATATAGTAAAATGCGTGACCATTTCTATCAATGAAATATTCATTATTGTTTGTTTGGTGAAGAAGAGCTTTATTGCGTTCAGCAAACATTGTTCCCAATAAAGAGTCCGGATAAGCTGTTAATGTTGATCGATAGGTTTCATACTACATGTATTGGTTAAATTTTTCGATTTAGAGACAAAAAAAATCTGATTTAGAAACAAAAAGTAACAACAAAAGAATACCTTGATCCCACCAACGTTCAACACGATTCGTTCACCAAGATCCGCTACATTAATAATATTTTTGTTGTAGTCATTTCGACTTGTGATACCATTTGAATCATTGCTACCGCTTCCTCTGATTATATTATTGATATTGTTTATTTCTATCATCTTACTTTTTATTAATGAGTTAAATACATTCAAAACTTTTTAAGCGCAAATAATTAATAAAATTAAAAATAACAGTTTACAGATAATAAGAAATGAAGTGTATTTTTGTGTGTGGGAAAAGTGGACTCTTTTGACAAAAAAAAATGCGATAATGACGATAGATGTTTTATCGAACCTTGTGGGATCTGCACATATGTTACAAAAAGCTCTCCTTATATTCCCAGACTAACCGTCTGAACGAAAATCGTAAAAGGACTAGAAGAATTATTCGCGTGATCATTGTGTTGCAACTGGCATGTGCTTTGTTACTACGTATGATAGCATATCGGATGTTTTACTCATTCAAGAAGCATTATCGTTATCATTCAATCGAATTGGAAGCAAGAATTCATAACGATAATACGTATCGGGTATCTTCCATTGTTATTACAAGTAATCGTACTTTTTAGTAATGTTACATAAAATACTGCGTATCGGTATTGTACATGTAAAATAAAATTATTAATTGCTCAAATTTTTATAATTTGATTATACAACTAAAAATACAGTCTTTTTTCCTTGATTGTTTCGGACGACAAGAAGTACAAAAATAGTTTGAGAGAGGAGGACGATGCTTTGTTATATTAGAATATTGTCCGTTGGAATTTTCATCAAATCTTTTGGTTTGCTTAATGGCAATTTTAGTAAAATGCCTTTAGAATTTATTTTCTTTCAAGAGCCATTACATATAATGAGATCATTATATAGTTTGAAAGGGACGAGTTTTTATGGAAGGCTAAAAGCTTCCAACCCAATGACTTTTGATGTTAATCTCAATTCCACATCCCAATACGTCACCTTCAGCTGCCGATTTTTGAACCTTTTTTATTATTCATCTCAGTGCCAAATTCTTTAGAGATAAAACCAGCAGACTTGATTCTGTGCAAACGTAGCAAATTATTTGAAGAAATGTATCGATAAAGCATCATCTAATACAAAATTTGAAATTTATATATTTTACGAAATACACGAAGACAATCATTAAGAACCATAATTTCTCACTACGTATGTAGTTCGTTTTTTGTAATATTCTAAAAATATTGCTTATCGATTTCAGGAATTCCACTAGTTCAAAACGATATTTGTAATCCAAAGTTTGCAACATGGTTCTAGGATTCAATCAATGGGTATTGTTTATATTAGAATTAATATCAAACAGTTATCGTTATCGTATTTAAATTCCCGCCCTTGACTTTGACATTTATAAAGAAAGAATCTAGATTTATTTGACCTATAAATATTACAGATAAGTTTATCGACACATTTCTTAAATTTCAAACTGTCACTAGTTAGTGTCTTTTAAATGTATGAGATTCAAAACGCAAAACGAAAATACGTAGATGATTAAAATCGTGAAAATTATCACACTATTTCGATTACATAAATTGTATCCCACTTTGATTTAACATATACTTTTAAACAATTGCCATTACAGTATAATCACGAGAATAATAATCTATGACAGAAATTTGAATAAAAATTGGTTTATTTAAAGGAAATTATAAACTCCTTGTTTATCATATTATCGAGTGGTTTATATTGATATATACCATTGATTCGCGTGCTTAATCCCAATCCGAAACTCATGCTACGAATCTAAAATAAATTATGTCAGTGGGTGATCAAAAAGATCCAATCACTTACAAACCATTAAATTTGACTAATATTTAAACTTTAGCATTGTATGATATCCATTTGCAGCAATAACCGTTGCAATTCGATTCGGGTGCAAGATCCTTCCAAGCCACTTTCACGTATTGTTCGAGTTCTGTGAGACTAGAAGAATCATCGGCGAACTGCGTCTTTCACTTCATGCCATAAATTTTCTATGTTGTTCAAATCGGGACTTTGTGGAGGCCAAACTAACTTCTTAATTCTAGAAGCTTTGCAAACGGCTGTTGCAATCTTTGGCCTATGTGATGTTGTATTGTCCTCCTGGAAAATATTTATATCAAATCATGTGATTTGTGTTAATGGTTCGGAACCGCGGTTCCAACCGGTTTGGCATATTAAAAAAACCAGATCCGAACCGTTGGCATCTTTATTTCTGACACTTTCTTAATCTAAAACCGCAATAGTTAACTCTGGCTAGAATAATAATAAAAGAAAAAACTTTGCGACAAATGATTAATCAGAAGCCAGGCTAATATTTGCCGTATATAGCTGGATTTTTAAATTTTTATTTTTGTAAAGCTCTGTTCGGGTCGGATCGGATTCGGATTGGGTTTGATCCAAAAATCGTAAAATAGTTATTCGTTAATAACTTTTATTTTTACTAAGACACTTGTATTTTGTGTCTGAGTTGTTCAGAATGTAATTGTGTATATATTCACAAATTTTTGTTTAATATTGAATGAAAAATAACGTTTTTTAGGCTAATCCGAAATATTTTGAATCGGATTTGACTCCATTTCGATCCGATTCTAAATGTGCGTTTCGAATCGAATCACGAATTGGACCAGATCCGGTTGGAGCACTATATTTTTGGCATGAGTTATAAATTTTGAATTTTAGAAAATTTGTCATTATTAGTAGTATTATTATATAATACAAACTAACATGATTAGTAGAAATTAGATATTTTCATAATCATAAATGATTATTTCAAATGATCATTCCAGATGATCATTCCAAGTGATCATTCCAAGCGATCATTTCAAGCATTCTGAATGATTATTTAAATGACCATGTTATATAATATGTTCTTTATTGTTAATATTATTGTTGATTGAATATAGAATTTATTCGATTATTGAATTATATTCAATTAGAAAGTATCCAGAATAGGATATTAATATTAGAGTATTTTCAGTCAATGTGATCGTAATGCAAGAATAACCAATCGGATTAGTGTAAAATCTACATCATGTGAAGGCTTACGTAACTGGTCTCCTGATCATTCTGTGCAACTTTTTACTACGATTATTCCCAAATACATGCAATTTTTTTCACACTTGTCCTTCTCACGACAGTTGTGCCAATAATATTCGACCCAAAAAAGCATATATATACCAAGTCATGTCTATCAAACTCTTTTGTCTAGAAACAGAAAAGACTCCCGCCGTCCAGCACGCCTTCGAAGTTCAGATTGGTAGGGATGAGTCTATTAGTGCACTCAAGAAAGCCATAAAGGCGGCGAAAACACCAGAGTTTGATAGTTTCGCCGCTGATAAACTCAGACTTTGGAAAGTAGAAATCCCAGGCGATCGCGACGACATTATTCAAAATCAACCCTTGCAAGACAGCGATGAGCTACTGGCGATATATGATATCGGAGATTACTGGACCGACACACCGCCGAAAAGGCATATCCATATCATCGTAGAGTTGCCACGTAAGTGCTGAGCACATAATATGAACATGGAAGACATTCATCTACTTCTGCTTCCTCTACTACGAAAGGAAATATCTATGAAGTGGTTTCTCGCCTTTCCACCATCGATGATGATACTAAACTCTCTCGGAAAGAAGTGATTAACTTATTCAATTATTTCACCAATAATAATAAATTCCAGACGATAACAATAAGCTTGAATACTTGAGGGGGTTATTAAATCCTGGTATGTTCTCACGCATAGAAATATAAAATAATGTGGTTTAACTTTTGAGCCGTTGCTTCATTCTCGTCATATTTGCTAATAATATCGAACACTTATTTAATCTTGTACTGCTTCTTATCGTAATAAATTTTGCCAATGCGAGTGAACGCGGTCTTTTGACAGCCATTGTTTCGTTCTCGTTTGTGCTGTCAAATAATTATTATACCTTTTTTTCATCTTTTTATCGACTTATGCAGGAAAACGACCACTTTCGCCTTCCGCTGAATCAAGTGAATCCAAGAGGGAAAAAATGATGGGTAATTTTTTCCAACAAGGGATGTGTAGAATAAGTTGCCGGAATCCTGTGAAATAACGACTTTTTCAAATCATTACTTTCCATCTTTTGTCTCTATTAGATCCATTATTTAAGAACATTTGGGAGGTAGCCAAACACTTGAGCCAAAAAGGGAAGGTTACCACCTCAACCCGCACCCCTTTCTTTATCGAGAAAGAGATTTTAACGTCTGGTGTCGAAGATGAAGATACTGAAGCAACTCCACGCAATATTATTAAACATCCCGAAAACAAACCGCTCGCAGTGATTGAGAAGTCTGCGCTATATGTAAGAGAATCATACGAGGACCTTTACGACCTAATAATCAATCAAGTAGATGGGAATTTCAAATACAAACTCCTCGTCACTGGCACGTCGGGTGTCGGTAAATCATGCTTCTTGATTTACCTCTTAATCCAGCTTTTCCATGATTTTGAGGATGTCACGATCATTCTCCAGTCAATCCAAAACGAATACTTTTATTGCTTTCAGAGTTCTGATTTCAGTGTTGGGAGCTATGATGACTTCTCGGCTTACTTCAGATCCTCCAAAACGTGGTATCTAGCGGATGGTATTCTTTCTCCCAAGCTTGTCCCGGCAAAAACAGTGGTTGCTTTATCCGCAAAAGGCGTCTACAAAGATGAATTTCAAGAATTTGATAAGATACTTGTGAGGCAATTATACCTTCCTCCTTGGTCGTTAGAGGAGTTGTTAGTTTGTCAGAAACATATCTTCCAAAATGTACCGAAAGACATAATATTGAATCTTTATGACAAGGTGGGTGGTGTGCCGAGATACGTTCTCCGAAGGGCTGATGACGCGTTGCAATGCTGTAAGGATCCAAGAATGCCCGACGAGAAGGATATTATAAAACGTGCTCTTGGTCGCGTTGCAACTGCTCTTCAGCAAGTCAAAAATTTCGATGACCTTATACTTTGCGTTACTGAGGATGCCTACTATATTCAATACAGCAGTCGCCTTGTTCACCGATGGCCGGATCCTTTTTATGATAGTTACTACCTCCAATGGGCCTCTCGTTATATATACGATAATATCCAGGAAAGGTTAGAGAAGCAGTCATCGAATGATCTTTTGGAGAGAATTCAAAGGATGAAAAACTTTCCCAGCGCCAGAGGGATTATGTTCGAGATGTA